CATTGTTCTGACAGGGAGGTAACAGTCTGACATTGACATGTCCTTACTCACACATTATTATAACGTCCCTTTCTTAACATGTACTTCTTGTTTATTCATAATCTGGAATGCAGTGAAACTGGCAACCCATCTACACTCTATTCAAAGATGATGCTAACTATACTGACTGGAGTGTTTGTTACTGCTTATTGTGTTTATGTATATCAGAAACCTCTTATTTGGCTAATGTAACTTTTGATTCTACTGGTCACCCTTCAAGTGTTATAAGAGTAGCGTAATTCCCTTGGGGAACAAGCTGTGCGTAAAATGTGTGTATGTGCGTAAGGTGTGAGTGGACGAGCGAGAGTGAGCGAGCGAGAGAAAGAGAGTGTGCACGCTCGGATGCAGTAGTAAAATAAAGACCAGGCTATCTCAATGTCATCCCGGAGCTCCCGTGTCTGTGGCACAGCAGCTGATCCCAGTTCCATCTTCCAGTGCTCCGCTCCGGCCTCTCTACAACCGCTGCAGTCAGTGATAGGTGCGTCACTTGGTTAGATTACAGGTTGCCAGGTTCGCCCACATGAAACAGGAAACATCCGATCGAAAAAAACATTTCTTTTTTGATAATTCACATAATAATAAAGATAACAATGACTTGTCGAGTCATTTCATGCAAGTCTAAGTCAAGTCTCAAGTCATGAATAGCAAGTCAAAGTCAAGTCAAGTCTTTTATCACTGTTAACCAAGCAAGTCCCAAGTCCTCAATCTGGCGATTTAAGTCTTACTCCAGTCAAGTCACTGGACTCGAGTCCCCCATCTCTGGAAAGGACACATACATTCGCAGTATTTCACTGAAATAGGGGAAATTTGTCTTGTGCACAGTGCTACAATCTGTTGCTTCACAGAAACCCATCACAAAATCAACGTGAAGCATTTTAAAACATAAAAGACACTATACATTTTAACACTGACAATACATCAGCTTAAAAAGAGACTGTAAGAAACTATAAGAATTAAAGTGCTTCAGTGCTGGTTTGTTTATTACACACTGATTAAGTATTAGAGTTCAGCAGCTTGATAGAAGTCGGGACGAACAATAACTTCAGTCTGTTTGATTTGCACTTTGGCACACGGAGTCTTCTTCCTCATGGCAGAGGTTCATTTCCAGAGAAGGGGACATGTTGAGGGTCCACAATGATTTTTGCTGCTTGTTTCATGACTGTGTGCTGATACAGGCTCTGTATGGGCTCATATTCTTTCCTCCCTATTATCCTCATAGCTACTTTGTGCATGCTGGCCAACCTGCTTTTCAGCTACACTGTTAAGTTGCCAAACCCTGCTGTGATTCCATATCTAATGATGCTCTCTGGGATCGCCCTGTAAAATCAACATGATCTGGCTGCTCACTTCGTTCAGTTTCAGTCGCCTTAGGAAGTACAGTTTCTGCTGCAGTTGATTTCACAGGTAATGAACACCTAAATATCTATACAAGGACACTTGGCTGATTTTCTGGTTTTTGATGACAACTGGCTTGCGGTCAGTCACTTGCCTCTGGTCAAAGACCATCTCCATTTAGAAAAAGATGGTTGGTGTCACACCACTTGATAAAGATCTCATCTTATCATGGTACACAGAAGGGTCCATGTCCTTGTGGAGAAGGCTTAATATTCAGTATTATCAGCAAATTCTATAATATGATTATTGGGCTGTACTTTCCTGCAGTCATTAGTGTACAGTTTAAAAAGTATAGGTGATACCACACAACCTTGTGGGACCGCTGACTACGTTTGGTCTTTGACAATGTCCCATTAACTTTTACTTGTTGTGTCATATTAGTTAAAAAAGAATAAAAGATAAGGTTGCACTGTATTAAACTAAAATCAATAAATACAATTCTAGCATAGGTGTTTGTGTTCTGAAGGTGTTTAGAAATAAAGTGCGAAATGCATCTTCAGTGCTGCGTTTCTGCTTATGGGCAAATTGCCATGTGTCTACATCTGGTTCGACTTCTTTCTTGAGCAGGGATACTACAAATTTCTCAAAACATTTCCTGACAATAGAGGTCAAAGTTACAGGACGACAATCATTATTCACCGAGGCAAAGAGCTTTTTAGACACTGGTGTTATGATTGACTTCTTCCACAAAGCTGGGACAGTGTGAGTGTCCAAAGACCGTTGGGATATGGGAAACCATGCTGATGTTAGTTCCTCTGCACAGCTTTTAAGCAAAAAAGCTGGCAGTCCATCTGGACCAGTGGACTTAGTGCACACCTTACTAAAAAGGGACTGTACACTGGGCGGGTCCCCTTCCAGCCAGCAGGTGACATCAGTGTCTGGCAAAGACAACAACATACTGTCATACTGCTGAGAGACGTTCTGTGACTCAAACCTCAAGGAAAAGTAATTCAGCTCATTTGACTTTTGTTGTTCCTCCACAGTGATAATTTGTTCATGTCTGTAACTGATTTCATACTGTCCCAAAGTTTTTAGGTGTTTGAAGTGTGAAAGCTCTGTTCTATTGTTTGCCTGGGTTGTTCTCTTGCATTTGTAAGGACCTGTTTACGTTCTTTTTGAACTACTGACGGTCCTGCTGTGTCTTTATTTCTAAAATCTTGCCTTTTCCTAGTAGTGGAAATCGCCTAGAAATAAAACAGGTGCTCCGTGTGCGCACTGCAGCTGTTTGCGTGCGCACTCTGCTATGCATGGGGTTCCTTTAAGTAAGTGCAAGTATTAATACCACACTGTAAAAATATTCCACAAGGAAAGGCCCGGCGTTGAAAATGTTACTTAAGTATATATGTAAATATAATCAGAAAAAGATGCTTAAAGTATTACAAGTGAAAGTAGTCAATGCTGAAAACTGTTATACTTTTATATTTAAAATCATTAGATTATTATGACTTATGCTTTAATGTAAAACCAGGATTTAACTAGTTACTAAAAAACACCAAAATTATAATAATCAATAATTTTCTACCAATGGATTGTTTTTGATACTTTTTACCTTCTTCTGCTTTCTGAAAAGATAGATGATAGATGAATTCATGTCTACATCTTGATAAAAGTCACTGGACTGTATAAACACCATTGACAACAATATAAATCAAGTTAATTTTTATATTTCTGACAAAGTCTGATATGTTTTTTTAATAAATATATTAGAATGTTCTTAATAAACTAAAACCAATGGATTAAGTTGGCAAAGGTATTATAAACATAATCGAATCTTGGAACGTGTATATGGTAGTGACCATTGTGCATTTTCCCTGTATAAAAATGCCCTTTTGGGATTTTTCTTCTTTATTGATGAAATATTATCATATCATTTGGGTAACTTTTGATAATTTTGACAAAGTAGCATGAATGCACAGCGGTATGTTTTTTGTTTGTTTTTCATTTTATTGAAGTTGTATTTGTTTGTTGTTTTATTTCATGCATCAGTGAACTCGTGACGAAAGAAAATAATGTTAAGAATTTCCTTGATGCAAAAGCATTGATCATGTCATTAGGTTATACATTGTTCCAGCAGGGAGGTAACTGTCTGACGTAGTCATGTCCTTACTCACACCTTATTATTTTCAATAGTGATAATTATACAGACTGTAATGTTTGCCACTGCCTTTTGTGTTTCTTTTATGTCTTATGTTCACACCTTAATGTCTTACATACCTTAGAAGCTAACCATGAAATGTTTTTGCATGAAAAACAGCATAAAAGACTATGAAGGAATCAAGGAAATGTATTCATCATTATACAACACAAGGTTGCATAACACAAGGTTGTATAATGAAGTGAAAGTTTATAGTTCTTCATGATAAACACATAGAAAAGGTCAGAAAAGATAAATAAAATAGAATTTTTTGTCAAGTATGTTTTATTGAGGAAGGATTGCAAAATGTAGGACATGAGAATGTAGTGTACATTTTCACTGAAGAAAAGCAAAGTTAATACAACAGATAGTATCAATATAACTTAACTGAACCAGATAGTAGTAAAAATATAGTAAAACACAAGCAATGAAAATTGTATTGTCCAGTAAACTACACGGGGAGTGTACATCATTGGTTGTTTCTCAGGTAGCAGACAAAGGGCAGCCAGATCTTATCAAATTGTGACTGTCTATTCTTCAAAAAGAACCTTATTCTTCCATTGTGAAGGGTATTGGTCATTTCATTGAGCCACAGCTTAAAAGTGGGAACTTCCTTCTGTCAGGATTCATTTTTTTGCTGTAATAAGGCAATAAGAGAGAAGTTGCTGCCACTCTCGTTAATGCAGATGTGGCATCTGAAATTCCTAGCACAGTTAAGACAGGATCAGGTTTGATGTGGGTGTCGAGTATATCAGAGAGCGTTTAAAAAAAATGTGTCCAATATCTTTCTATTCTGGGACAGAGAGCAAAGCTATGGACAAAGTTTGCCTCTGTTGTATTACATTTATCAAACTGAGGGGATATGTCTGGGAACATCTTGTTGAGCCTTGATTTTGAATAGTGGAGTCTGTGGATGACGCGCAACTGAATGAGACAATGCCTAGAGTTGATGGAGCAACATTGTTTGCAATTTAGCAAACAAGGCAAAGGTTCCACTCAGGTAAAGGTCACCAATTGTGTGAAAACCAAGGTCTTTCACTCTGTAAGAATCCATTATCAAGATGGGATGGTAGGAATGAAGGGTTCCCAGCTATGGGGAGCAGGAGAACGAACCA